GATTATACGAAAGAAAAGCTTATAGATTAGGAGACCTTGGCAGCTTCGCTTATCTGTTAGAGAATAACTGTCTTTCTACCTTGGAGTGAACGTTAGAAGTGATGTTCTCCTTGTTGTCACCAACTTACTGTACATGCTTGAACATACAAAGCTTATAGACACATTTATATAATATTATATTATATAAATATTTAATTCTAAATATCTTTTTGTTCTCGAGTGGTGATACACTTTAAACACAACTAAATGAGAAATAAAACCTGTATTTTTTTTATAAAGAAATCTTTGAGTATATATTTAGGACTCAGTTGAGTGACACAAGACCAGTGCTAATTCCGGTACGTAAATCCAGACTGTATACACAAGGAAATTAAGTAGATATTCATCAGCTTCCTATTATCTAAGAACCACTGCTTTTTCATATGGATTTACTTGATAAATGTGTTCTCTAATTGGCTTTATTTGCTAATGCTGCCTCCAGGTGATATTTTCACTTCATTGTTAAATGCAGAACAGTCAAAGAAGCAAGGTGAAATTTCACTACAGCTTCTTCCCCCTTCTCAGAGCACCGTAAATAAAATAGCGAAGCGCTTTCAAAATGATGAAATATGGTGTCAGATGTCCATAAACTGTTTTGTGAAAAATGAGCTCCGTAAAAGAGAGTTCACGAGGAAAACTTCAATAAATGTGAAAATCGACCATGCCGAGGAGGTGTTTGAGGAGATATTCTGTAATCGTCAAGGAGAAGCCAAGGCTGTACCTCAAAGGGACATTGTGTATACCCTCAGGTTGATACACACACGCTCACCAGTGTTTTATGGTTTCAGGTTCAGTGCGAACCCATTTCATATGATTTGAGCGCTCACACACAAACCACACCAAAATGTGAGGCTTACTGAAAAGCTAAATTCCAGAGCTCTGCATGCTATCTTATTTTATGTATTCCAGATTGGCACTAGCCTGTTTTGCATTAAAAAAAAATACATTTGATGTAAAATGAGGGTTAGCCTCACTGAAAATGCCTTCATGATATGCTACATACACTAACAGTCTGGATTTAAATTTAAGTACACTGATGTGTGTACTTGAGATATAGTATATCGTATATTGTATTGAGGTTTTGCACAACTATAAAAAAGATTCAATAACAGTATTCCCTAAAAGCTTGTACTTCATTGGAAACAACATATTTTGCACAATACAGCATGCTACAGATTTGTTATTACTGCCTATATAAGATTAGAAATAAAAATGCAAAGGTTCATTAAAAAAGCAGTAGAAACCTCCGGCGAATGAGAACACTATAACCAAAATCCAAGCCAATAACCAAAAACAAAAATATTAACCAAAATAAAAAAACAAACAAACTCTTTGTACCTCTCTTACATTTTGATTTTACAGCTATGACTAAGAATAGATAAGGAAGCATACGGTATGGAATTCATCTATAAGTGTGGGGGCGTTAAGGACTTTTGGAACATCTCTCTGCTTTTTCAGAACAATGCCTATCCAGTACGTTCAGCAGTATGTCTAATTTTGCAGAACACAGTCGGCCCTATACTCTCCAAAGATTCTGCGGCTTAAGTTGTACCAGCATTGCAGCAGGCTTTTCTGATCCAGAATCAAGGGGATGTCGGACGGGACTACGTCTGAGGAAAGATGTACTGTGTAATTTATCCAGGTGAAGGAAGGAGGGGAAACTTGTAGCTAGCAAAAAAGAGATTCAAAGTGGGATAGAGGATGGAAAATCTGAAAAAAAAAACTCTAGGTCCCGCACAGACTTCAAGGTATTCCAAATAGTAATTTGAAGTACAATTTTATGCAAGGGTAAGGCAAATGGGCTAGACTTTGGTAGCATTCAACTCCTTGACCTTTGTGCCTTTAAGCCGCTTTGCTACTTCACCGCACTCTGATCAAAGTTAATAAGTGCTTCATATGTTAATGAAAATTGGTGCTCTTCTTTGTATTTCTACAGCTTTTTAATACCTATTATAGGCTGAAACTTTTAATGGAGGTTTTAGGTCCTCCTGACAAGACCATTTCAGTGAGTGACTACACAGATACAAGGCTAAGCTGAGACAGAAGTGTCACTTGACTGCTCAGTGGAGAAACCTTACACGAGAGACCTATTCTTGAAGAAGCCTGAGAAGATAAAGGCTACAGGATGAGTGGTTGCTTTAAAACCAGCGTTCAACTCAACACTCCGCTAATTACACTGTGCCATCAAAATTGAGAGGGTTTAGTTAATCAAGAGTCCTTTTTTTTTTCTATAGTCAAGGAATAACATACATAAACCGTTTAATACATTCAGGATTGTGTTTCCTTTAATTCATGCTGCTTATGCATAAGTGAGAGAAATTTAAGCCACTCAGACACTCAGCTAAATTAGTTTTTTTTTAAATCTGAATATCTTATTGAAGAATTAATCGAGAGCATTACAATTACACCTGACTGCTGCACATACAGTATTTGTAAGTCTTAAGGAAAAACCTGTGCAAAGCATTGCTTTAGAGTCAAGAAGAGTTAGTTCAGATAACAGTAGCAAAATACATGAAGAGGGAACTCGGTATATAACATAGGGTACTTATCTAAAAGCTTGAAAAAGGAAATCAGTGTGACCATGAAAACATAGGACTTTGATATAAAAGCTGGCTTGTAGCCTTGCGTGTTAAGTAGTAAAAGAAACTTAGATGTACACTCACACCTATTAAACCTTTACAACAATAGACTGCAGTTATATTTCTTTCATTTACAGTCCTTTTTACTACAGACCCTTTCATTGTAGTTGTGATACTACATGCTATGAGAAATGTTATTTGATTAAGTTTGTACTGAAGAAGTGTTAATTGCCGCAATGCACAAAAGATTATTTGAATGTGAGACAAGCATACTTACAAGATAAATATATTGTGAATATCTACAAATAATACTACATTCTATGCACAGTAGCGGCTCAGACTGAAGTAGCTTGCACTTTAAGAATACAGCCTTACGTATGTTAAATGTATGCAAGTTACAGAGAAGTAGATCTTCCCAAAACATTTCAACACTGTAGGAATTTTGGACCCATGTGTACTTTCTTCTCAAGGAGAAGCTGAACAGACAACAAAACCTCTCAGCTGTGTTACAGAATAATCAGCCACTAGAACAATCATCCAATAGAATCAATTATGAGTCCTTTATCCCTGTCAAAATCAGAGCTTGGAAGATCTGTCCAAATGATGGGGCTCCAAAGCCAGGATCCTCACATTTGAAGTAAGGCAGACTTTAAATATCAATACGCTTATTTTTCTGAAGAGGATTTCACATTTAATTTTTTAAAAGGAAACACGGCACATTACACTTTGTGACCACTTATCAGCTATAAGATTCACAAAAGGGAAACACAAAACAATCAATAACTTTTAAAAAATCTGTAATAAATGATTAAACGCTGCATATACTAAGTTAGAAAGGTCATTATATGGCAAAAGTGACCAGAAGGAGTTCTTGCCAATTCTAAATCTGACTGCAAGTGAGTTAGGAAAACCAAAAAGTCTACAGTACTGTCATACAAGATGTCACAGGGTCACTTGGAAATACTATTCCCTGCGTTTATGCCAAGGACAGCGTCTAAATAGTAAGCAAATTCTGCACTGCTTCGTAGACTGACAAGATTACAATAAAGAACGAAAATCTACCATGTGTAAAACATCCAGAAACAGCTTCCTCTGAACCTGGCGTCTTTATCTTCCTCACCAGGTCCAAATTAAATTTCCGTCCACTACCTGCTTTCATTCCCTTTCTTCCACCCACACAACATGAAGATTCATTTTCTAAGAAGAAAAACATTACACCAAAACGCACGTCTGCCAATGCAGGTCAATAAGCAAAACAAAATCTGCCCTACAGTTTTTACTTAAAACACTGTACAAAGTGGCACACTACAGAGCCTGCGCAGTACTGTATCAGAGCAGAGGACTCAGCTTAAGCTAGAAAATAACCTACGCAGCAAGGCAGCATCTGGTGACGGTAAGGTGTGAGAAGCAAAAAAAAAAAGTATCACATTGGATTTTTTTTTCTTGGGAAGAAGATAGGGACATTTGGCCATGCTCCTTTTTTTTTTAATGGTAGGCCTCCAAGGAACAGCAGGTGCTGCAGGAAGAGGTGTCACATGTTCAGGAGTGAGCATGTCCCTCCTTCAGGCTTGGGCTCAATCGATTCACCAGCATGGCGTTTGGAAGCACTTCTCTGTTTGAGGTGCCATCTTTCCCAGATCAATCTGCCGCTCTTGAATGCATTGTGAAAATCAAATATCAAACAGAATCATTTCAGAGACAAACAGGGAGGTACTGGATGCTTTCCCACACAATTAAAACAGCCAAATTGGCTAGTATCCCTTTTTTTTTGTTAAACTAATGTAACTCAAACACCCACTTGTGCTTCCTACACATATCAGATCAGGACATGTATGACAACAGGTCTCAGGGGGGCTCATTTATCAAAGATTTCGTGCCAGTGTGTTTTATACCATTCTTTAGTGAAAAAAGAAAAGAACAGTGATTCCACAAAAGAGAAGCTTTCACTTTAGTGTTTTATGTGTTCCCACCCTTTTAAATGCACTTTAAATGCTTTTCATATACTGGACTACAACATTAAATATATTAAGAAACAAATCTATTCATTACCATTATATAGTATTTATAGTATATTGTCATTATCAACATTTCACTCTGGGTCTTGTGTTTAATAAAAGGAAACAAAAGTTAATTTGTTCCCAGTTGTTCATAATTCAGCTCCAGTCTTCACCTACTTTGCCCTGCAAAGTGATGTAATGCTTAAGGGTTCTCACATCCAGAGAGAGAAAAAAATAGAATTTCCTTGTGTTTCAGAACTAAACCCTCGAACTTGAAAAAATAAAAAAATATGCTGTCCATTCACTTTTAAATGTATATTAACGCAGAAATAAAAGCACAGACTAAAAAATGTCAAAGTGTCGTCATTTCATAATCTGTGTCTACCTTTACTGCAAAAGTATTCCATATCTTCACAGCTCAAGTTTTCCGGTTCAAAGTCCGTGGAGAAATTTTCCTCCACTGAGAATTCTTCTTTTGTGATGATGTCATTTTCCTCAGAGAGACACTCTTCCTCTTCATCTTGCAAGGCATCTTCTAATGGTCCTGTAAAATTACCACATGAAATTCAATAAGATTATAACCCTTTTCTAACGAAAGAGAAGCAATGTACTGTACCTGCTTTCACATCATGGGTTTCGAAAAACATAAGCATGGCAGTGAAAGAGAGCAGGCCACCCGGCACACTTAGCCCATTGGGTAGGTAATAGCCAATTGAACTCCTCTAGCTCTTTCTGGAATGAAGCCAGAGTATTGGCCTTGACAACTTGACTGGGCAGCATGTTAAAAAAGCCCCACAATCCTTTGGAGAAAGCATTGCTTCCTGCTCTCGGCTTTAAAGCACTTCCATGTAGTTTCCACTTGTGCCCTGTGGTTTGTGTTCCACTGACCATTCTGAAGAAATCCTCTGGATTGACACTCAATGCCTTTCAGGATTCTATACACTTGCATCGGGTTCCCTGATAGCCATCAAGACAACAAAGGTTTAGTGCTGTTCGTCTGTCTGTGTAGGGGATTCCCTTAAGCCTGATGTTTAACATCAGAAGCTCGTTTCTGAAAAGAGTCCTTGTAAAAGAATGAGACAAATTTGCTTTGCTATGAATGACTACAATACAATAGTTTGTTTTTGGAACTTTTTTATTTTTAGTGTTACTTACTTTCAAATTAATACTTAAGATATAAACTTTGTCATTTGCAATTAGCAGGATGACTGAAGTTTAAGATTTAATCCAGGCAAAACTACAGTCCAAGGTGGAACATATGTCACAACCCAGCCTAAATCCTTTCTGAAACATCCCTTTCTGTCAGAAGGGTATGAGAATGACACATCTGACTCTAACCAATTCAATCAAAATACTGGAAGTGACGACAAATATCTAGAATTACAAAGAAACTCTCTCTCAAATCCTTAACGTTGCCTTTGTACAGTATACCCATATACTGTAGACTTCATACGTAAAATCCTTTATTTATTCACATACTAATTACACCACTAGATTACTAGTTTTCTTGCATTTCATGAGAAGTACTTGAAAACGATCAATTCACCTAAATAATTAAGGAATACAACACATTTAATCTTTTTGTGTTTGGAAATGATTTGGGTGCAATTCAGCTCCGAGGCAGCAGGCAAAACTGGGTGAATCTGAGTGCCTTACTTTAATACAAATGCAAAAGAGCCTTTTGATTTTTCATCCATCATCGCTCAGCATAGGTTTGTGTCTATATTTCCTGTGAGTAATGACAGGCAGAGTTATTCGGCACACACGGGCATTCTCATTAATAATGCACTGCAACTGTTGGCAAATATTGTATCATATACAGCAAACAAAGATATGGTGTTTAGATCGATGTGAAAGTGAATTGTTTTTATCAAAGAATTATTAAAACACATTACCACTCAGAACTCTGGCAGAACTGTTTCTATTTTTAGCTAAAAGGTTTGCAGATTCGGCACAACCTGTGGTTTAACAACCACACGGTTTAAATCTGCTTCTGTCTGAGAGATCTTTGCTGCTAAGGTCCGGGGCCATAAAGAAGCCCAAGTTGAAGGTTTGTTGACAGTACCAGTTCAAGTCCACACACTGTTCAGCTATTCCCACAGCTAATGGGCTTAGTCACGACTCACTCACAGGCACAGACTACAAACATGACCTTGGCTTCCTGTTTTTCTTCCTAGCACACTTTACACTACAAATCTGTCTTCCAGGACTGTGTGAAAAATAAATGTAGATTTTCAGTTTATTTTATTTCATTTTTTAAAGAAACATGACATATTTAAGGAGCTCTAAACAGCTCTTAAAGGTCTAAAAACTAAAGTTAATCAAATTTCTTAAGAACCCAAGATTAAACCCAAATTTTCCAGATTAAAAGGAATGTGTTTTTGTACAGTATGTTGTACATTGCATTATTGCTATTCTTCCAAACCTTCTGTTGAGGTTTTAACTGTTACCGTATGTATTTTGCTTTTAACAGGTATGACCCCAGCCCACCTATTCTCTCCAGAACTGAATTCGGAAACCTTCCTCACGGTTTATTGCTTTCAGTGTTCTCTCAGAAAGGTCTCTGTTTTTGCAGAAAAAAAAGAAAGTGAAATCCTTAAACCATCCATCCATTTTCTATAACTGTTTTATCCAGTACAGGGTCAGGGGGGAGCTGGAGCCCAGCAGGCAGCAGGAGAAAGGCAGGATAGACCCAGAGCAGGATGCCAGTCCATAACAGGGCACATACTGTATAGACATAAACACACACACTCACACCAGGGCCAATTTTACAGAAGCCAATTAACTTACCAGTATTCTTTGGACCATGGGGGAAATCCAGAAGAAACCCACGTGAACACAGGGAGAACATATAATCTCCACACAGCTAGTGCCCCAGTTCTGTGAGGCAGCAATGCTTACTACTGTGCTACTGTGCCATCCCATTCTTAAACCACTTACAAGTTAATGACAATTTTACATTTGGGATGTCATCTTCAATGGCATTTGTCTGCTGGATATGCCCTCCAATGTCACACGCTAATGAAAAGATATCATCGACCGTGCTTATTTTTTAAAAAGACGATGGTGATAATGATGATAATGATAATTATGATTATTATGATTATTATTATTATTAGTTCAGTTAAAAAGCAAAGCAATGAAACACTGGTCAATTACTTTCCTCACAGTCTGTCACTGGGATCACATTTTTGGAAAGAATATGTAGATTTAGCAAGGATTACTAGAACTGTTTTAGGCACAAAACAATAAGCTGAAATAACTCATAAAACATAAATGTGTCACACAGCCAGTAACACAACTTTCAACAGGATTCCCTAATCAAGCTCATGTTATTTTTAAAATGTCACTTTCACTGCCATTATCAGTATATAATACGATATTGTACAGTTGAAAAAAAATGGACTTTAATTAGAGCAGTCCTTATTTTGTCTCTATATATTCTATATACACTATATTGGGGTTTTTTGTTTTATAATATGTACTGTATCTCGAAAAGCATTTTCACATTAACAACCCAAATTAATTGAAGGTAACAAATATTTTCACTATATAATACATACATGTGTACTGTATATACTGAATATTCAACACATCATTTACTGGTCTTTATGGAATATATAGAGATACTGTACGAGAAGACATTATAAAATCAGAAAACCTTAAAAGCTTGATAACATTTATATCATGCTTTGAGAATGGGTGTCCTCCTTTTCAAGGGAGAAAAATACTGTATGTTTACAACATAAAAAATTGAACATAAGTCTATTAATACTGGGTGCTTCGAAGTTTAGTTTGTTGACATTTATTTTCCAAAAATAAATAACCAAGGTGGGATAATGATGTCCGCTCTCCACTAAAACTCCCTTTAAAAATACAGAATTGGTTTTCTCCTGGACATGCTTCAGGCAAACTCTTCCAAGGCAACAACAAGATTAACAGAAGGAAAACAGTACAGCCACAGTCTATAGTTGTTTTACCACAGGAAATTTAGATAGAGAAAAAGATGATCCAGAAGACCAAAGTTCCTTTCGCTGTACCTCATCACTTTTCACATAAGCAACAGCATGGGAGGTAGAAAGAAAATACTTTTATTAATTTGGTAGCCTTATCAGAGGGTACAATGTTGATTTTTCATTTACATTTCATGCCTGCAGGTAACACACCAGCACAATCTTAAAGCAGAAATTTTTCCGTTTGATTAATTTTTTTTCTCTGTGTGCAATATTATTTCCCTATATCTAAATGATTTCAGTTTTTTGCTTGTAGCTGTACATCTTTTTTGGTATTTGCATATTACTATTTTGCTTCAATCAAGGACTCTGATGGAATTATGGTACCTGAATTGTATTAGTTCTGAAAATATTTCATCCTGCATTTAAATTATGTTAAAATATATTTCCACCCCCCACCACCACAAAAAGAATCTAAAATAATTCCAATCCTCTCTTAAAAATTTGCATGTTAAAGAACTACTGCAGGTCCAAATTTAAGACTGGTTTAAATTTGTTTTTAAACTTATAGTACAAATTAAAAAAATATATTTTTCTGTCTTTGGTGATCAGACTTACTTAAGGACTCAAAAGCACAAGTGTTTTGTTTCCTTGTGATGTTTTGATGCATGTATTCCTCTTTTTATTCCATTAAAAATGAGCTATATTGCACACTCCCAATCAATCTGAACACAGACAAAACACACAGAAACATCCCTTTTCAGCATATTTCAGTGAGCATATTCTATCGTAACACAACCAGACCCTTAGTTTGATAAAGGAATGATTTAAGTTCAAAAACTCTTGGTGTGTGTTGCTGTTTTCCTTTATTCTGATTCAGAAGCTCAGAAACTGCTTGAACTCCACAAACTGCTTGGTCTTTTCATTAGCCTAATAAATTATTCCTTTTTTAGAAGCTACATCTTCAAGAGAAGAACCATACATAAAAAGAATAAGTATGTTGGTCTCTAATAGACACTGTAAAGGCATAGAATTGCTTTAAATTACAATGTAACAAAACCTGAAATCACTCAATATGATTACTGTCGCCTAAAATTATGATACACATCACAGCAAGTTGCTAGGCTAAAATGCAGGAGTTAAAAGAAAATCTTCAGAGTGACTGAAGATATTATGAATTGTAATACATGTATACAAAAACTGAAATATAAAGTGTACAGTATGATATTGCTCTGTACAGTATATGGATTATGTGGACTATATCGCATTTAGAAAACAACACCTGTCTGTTCCATCTGTCCAATGTGTTTTATTGGACATTATATGGTAAGATGGTCCGTGCATTGTGTTGACTGGACTACCTGCAGTCACTGACAACAGGAATACTTAAAGTAAAAACCTTTTTCACAAAAAGATAAGTGTTTGACAAAACTTCAAATTCAAATCATTTTCATGGTTACTTGTTGAAACCAGTGTAGATTTCAACACTGTGCATTTTTAAAGTTTGCTAGCTTTCCATACATTTAGTTGATTACACAGTATTCTTTGCATGGAGAGACCTGAAATAATTTCAGAGACAGCAATGATAAGA